TATATATATATATATGGATTCATTTGGTTCTTTTTATTCTTGCTCGAGCTGGATGATTGAAAATTATCATGTCTAGTTCCCTCGGGGGATGGATCTATAAGAATTCACCTATCCCAATAACAAAAGGAGTCCCATCCATTCATTTATGGGAGCGACTCTCTGTTCCCATTCTCCACCGGGTCATCAAGTGATTAGCTAGCTCAATCCATTTTTCCATCCGATGATCTTCACCCTAGGACTGACTCTGTTCGACCTGCCTTGATTGTGTAGCTAATGCTACCGTCGCAAGCAACCTCTCAAAGAATAAGGAGTGAATGACCCTTCTATCTAGATCGATGATTACGTTCGGCCGAGCCAACTGTATGATCAAAATATTTGTATTCTGTCCATAATTAAATGTAGGGATTGAATTATTGTCTGTGAGTACATCTACATTATAGGCTGCATTATTGTTTCCCACATTTCCTCTCCTTTTTGGTTTAAAATCTGGAGGATATCCTACAATCTTAAAGCAATTTTTTTTGCTATGCCCCTTCATCTTGCAGAAATCACATTGCACATTGTATTTTGCTTGAACTTCTAATGTTGATTTCCTTATGTTCTTGTGTACGTTGCAACTTCATAGTTTGTTGAAGTCAAAGCAGGGTTAGCATCTAGAATTCCTGTAGTTGCTGCTACTGACTTCTACCTTTCATCACTTACTATTAAGGCATAGACTTGATTCACTATAGGAGTAGGACTCCTCATCAATATTTGACTTCTAGCTTGTGCATATGAGTCATTAAGGCCCATCACAAACTGATATAGTTTCAGTTTCTGCATATACACTACAAAGTCTTTAGACTTTGGACAATCACAACCAGGAGCAGGAACTAGGGCCTCAAATTCCTTCCATAGATCTTTGAGTTTTGAAAAATAAATCGATATAGATGTAGTCCCCTGACTCAGTGTTGCAATATCTTTGTGCAGATTAAAAGTTCTTGAGTCGTCAACTTTATTAAATCTTTCTGACAGATCATCCCAAACGGCTTGAGCACTAGATGCATACATGATTCCACCTAGTAAATTATTTGAAACCGAGTTCATTATCCAAGATAAAACTATCACATTAATCCTCTCCCAGTGATTCCACATAGTGTCTGGGAATTCTCTTTTTTGCGTGTTCCATCTATCATACCTAGTTTGTTCCTACTCAATAATGCAACACGTGTAGAATGATTCCAGATAGAGTAGTTCTCCATACCTGTCAATTGAAATGAGATTATTTGAATTTCACTCATATCAGTTGGCGACAGAAACAACGGATGATTATAATCGATTCCTGCAAACGGAGTTCCAGAATTCTGATTCAATCGATCTCCTATAGTCGAAGTTCCAGTTGTTTGCCCTAATTGCTCTCCAATTGACCCCATTTTCACTCGATTATTTCGAATTTGAGTAGAATTAGCAGAAATAAAGACTGATTTTCCAAGATCGATGACAACAAGCTATGAATTCAAGCTTGTAAGCTCTGATACCATATTATTAATCAAGAACTCTTGATCAAGAAAAAGAAGTAGACTGTTAGAGAGAGAGAGACAAAGAGAGAGACAGAGAGAGAGAGAGAGAGAGAGAGAGAGAGAGAGAGAGAGAGAGAGAGAGGAGACGAAGAAGAAAGAGAGAAGAAGAAAGAGCTTGATTTCTTATTCAATCAACTGAACTCCCTTTCGTGCATACGCTACTATATACAACTAACTAATGGATTATACAACTAATAATATTTAATGCTTATGAAATGACTCTATTGCCATTGTATCATTTAACAAAGATGCGCATAATATACCAAATTATATTTTAAATTATTAACAAGATCATTCATTCCTATAAGGGAGTGTCATTAATGATAAAATAAGAATATTAAAATTAAAGAATTTCTAAATATTAGAAAGCAACGTCCTTTTTTAAATGAACTAAAAGAATAAGACTGTGATGACCCAAAAGGTCATCACTTGGTTTATAAGTAAATTCTGTGTGCCAAGGCCTTAAAAACCTCCTTTTACCTTACCTCGAAGCCCGTACAAACTTATTTTAGTATTTAAATGATAACTGTGAAATTTGGTGAAAAATGGAGTTTATTTGACGTGATTTGGACGCCCGGTTGAGAAATAATGAACTTTAAGTGTTCTTGAGAAAAATGATGAGGTTTGAGGATTAATTCATAGTTATTGATGTTATTTTGGTGATTTGATTGCACGTGCAAGTCCGTATGATGTTTTTGGGTTGGTGTGCATGTTTGGTTTGGAGCCCGAGGGCTCGGGTGAGTTTTGGATAGGCCACAGAGTGAATTTAGACTTAGAACATAGTTGTTGCAGGTTCAGAGAAGTTGCAGATCTCTGAACCAGACCATGCGGTCCGCAGTGGTTTCTTGCGGCCGCGGTGGGGACTTCGCGATCGCGGAGGGGATTATGCGGTCCGCGGTGGGGCAAGGCCTTACCTTTGCGTCCGCGCTCGATTTCTTGCGGTCCGCGGTGGAGCTCCGCGACCGCAATCCCATTTTTGTGCGGTCCGCGGTGAGGGTCTGAGAGGAGTATATAAACGGGACTCTTCAGTTATTTTACCATTTTCAGAAACCTAAAACATAAAGGGCGATTTTTCAAGCACCCTTTCTTTCCCCAAAACACAAATAAGTGATTTTAAATTCATTTCTTTCACTTCTTAACTTCTTTTTACAAGGTTTCATCCTAGAATCTAGGGTTTTCATGATGGAATTGGGAATTTTGGGTAAAACCTAAGAATATTGAGATTTGGGGATTTAGAACTCAAATTGAGGTCGGATTCCAAGACCAATTATATATCCGGGCTCGGGGGTGAATGGGTAATCGGGTTTTGGTCCGAATTTTGGGCTGGACCAAGCGGGCCCGGGGTCTATTTTTGACTTTTTGGGGAAAACTTTATAAAACCTAATTTCATGCATTAGAATTGATTCATTTAGCATTTATTGATATAGTTAAGTAACTTGTGGCTAGATACAAGCGAATTGGTGGTGGAATCAAGAGGTAAAGCGGTAGTTGAGGCTTGAATTGAGTTCGTAGCTCGAGGTAAGTGTTTGGTCTAACCTTAGCTTGAGGGATTAGGAGTTGTGTCCTATTTGCTATGTGTTATTCATTGAGTACGACGTATAGGCATGGCGACGAGTATCTATACGTTGGTGTCAAGCATGCCCGTGAGTCTTATGTTATGATTTATGTGACTCCGTTTGTATTGTTCATGCTTAATGTGATGATTGCTATTATTGAGCAAGGCTTGAGGAAAGAATATCGGTAATTGAACATTGAAGAGCGTTGGCTCAAGTTGTAAAGTGAATTGTGGAAGTATAATTGGTAATTGAACCTTATAGAGCATTGGCTCAAATTGTGAATCGAGTTGAGAAGTAAATGTGAAAAAGAGAAGAGGATTATGATGTTGTCTCCCTTGCCGGGATATTGTTGTTAATGTTATCTCCCTTGCCGGGATGTTATTTTTTTGATCTTGTTTTCCCTTGTCGGGATATGATTGTTGTACTATTGTTCCCTTGCCGGGATTTAATTGTGAATTTGTTAATCTCCTTGCCCTTATTGCTTTGTGATTGTTGCTTGGGTGAGGAAGAGTGTTAAAGCACGAAGGGTGATGCCGTGCATTGTTTTGGTGAGAGAGTGTTAAAGCACGAAGGGTGACGCCGTGTATTGTTTTGGTAAGAGAGTGTTAAAGCACGAAGGGTGATGCCGTGTATAATTTTGTGAGGAAGAGTGTAAAAGCACGAAGGGTGATGCCGTGCCGCACGATGTACAATTCCGTGTCGATTATATTGATATTTATGGTGACGACAAGAGTAAAAGCACGAAGGGTGATGCCGTGCATTTGTTTGATTTCTGATTCTTATTGAAAATTGAGTTATGGTGTTCTTTATATTTACCTGTTGTTCTCCTGTTATCATTTGATGTTTCCCCCGCAGCATGTTTCCCCCTCCCATCCTTAACTGTACATTTCTGCTTCTACTTTTCCGTTGTAAATGATTTAACTGCACAGGTTTATTTGGTAGTCGGGTCCTAGCCTCGTCACTACTTCGCCGAGGTTAGGCTAGGCACTTACCAGCACATGGGGTCGGTTGTGCTGATACTACACTCTGCACTCTTTTGTACAGATCTCGGTGCTATAGCTTTCGGACCGCAGTGAGATTGTCGCTTCTTGTCCATCAGGCGACCCGAGGTAGTCCTGCAGGCGTCTGCAGTCCTTGGCGTCTCTTTCTATCTTTTTATCCTGTTTCTTTCATTTATTTTCAGAGACAGTATTGTATTACTTTTCTTCAGACCTTTATTTGTAGTACTCCTAGACCGTCTGTGAAGTTGTGACACCAGTCTTGGGTAGATTTGTTATGGATTGGTATTGGTAGTATTATTAAGACATTGCAATTCAGCCTTCCGCTTATTAAAATCTGTTGTTTGTTAAATGTTGGTTCTTAATTATTAATGGAATAAAAAAAATTGAAACAAGGTAAATAATTCAATTGGTCGGCTTGCCTAGCTTTCACTAGTAGGCGCCATCACGACTCCCGAGGGTAAAAAATCCGAATCGTGACAAAGACATTTAAATCGAATAGAGGAAGTAACATTTAAGGGAGAAAATGCAGAGAGAGGAAAAGCTTCATCAATCTTCATCTCATAATTACCTTTACATTTAAGATTTACTTACCTGCATTGTCATCAAATTTTAACATGTTCAATAAGGTAACTTATCTTATTTTTCAAATTATTGATTTTACTTTTCATGAACAGTTACCTGTAAAGATAAAATGTGGATACAATTGATAGAAAGTATATGCAGAAGGTTTTTATGGACTGGAGGTCACAAAAAAAGCATTATTAGCTTGGGATAGACTATGTTGGCCAAAAGCAGCAGGGGAATTGAACATACTGGACATAGGCATATGGAATAAAGCAGCCATATGCAAGCTGTTGTGGAGTCTAAGTAAGAAGAAAGATAAAATGTGGATACAATGGGTCCAGCTATACTATAAGAGATACATTACTTGGGGTGATCAACCAAAACAAGCATCATGGGTAGTCCAAAAAATAATTAAAGCAAAGAAACACTTTGAGAAAGCAGGGTACTCAGAAGAAGAGGTGCTGCAAATGGACAAATTCTCAATCAAGGCTATGTACTCGAAGCTTAGAGGAGACTTCACAAAGGTATCATGGAGGAGGATGACATGTAATAATGCTGGGCTACCTAAATGGACATTCACATTATACCTGGCTGGTCACAGAAGATTATTAACAAGAGAAAGATTAGGGAGATGGGGCTTCCTGGAGGATACATCTTGTGCACCATGTAACAGTGAAGAAGAAACTATTGACCATTTATTCTTTAAATGTTCATTTTCAGCACAAGTATGGGCAGCAATGCTAGAATGGCAAGGAATAAAGAGGCAGGTGATGGCTTGGGGACAAGAACTAGAATGGGCTGAAAGACAATACAAAGGGAAGAGTCGTACAGCAGAAGTATACAGAATGGTACTAGCTGGGAGCATATACTACATATGGCAAGAAAGGAATGCACAAATATTTCAAGCATGACAGAGGAGTGCTGAAGCAATTACTAGACAACTAGTTCAAGAAGTCCACTGTCGAGGGGGCACGAAACATAGACTGAAGGAAAGATTATTAGAGTTAAACTACTACCCTATTGTTCATATGGATGTGTAAAACTAGTATAGTAGTTAGAAGGAACAAGAATGAGAAGCTAAGCTGAATCTGGGACTGATGTCCAGATCAGGCTAAAGAGAGAAATGCTATGTAAATATTACTTGGTAAATAAAGTTTTTAAAAAAAAAAAAAAAAAACTTGACTATGTATAAAAGAATGAAGTTGCATTTTAATTAGTTAATTTTATTCTCCTTGTTCTTCTGGTACATAATTTTATAATGCTTGTACCTAGCTAGCTACAATATTCTCAAATTTCAAGCCCTTGAATAGATCAATCATTATCTTCTTTTCTTTGAATTCTTAGTAAAATATTGTACTACTTGACTCTTTTGTTTTAATTTGCTCTTTCAAGAATTAATGCATGTTTCTTTTCCAAAATGTGAATATGTTCTTGAATGGAGAAATATAGGGTCAACACCATGATTACTTAATGTTTTCATAGTGTAAACGAAGCAATAATATATATGGCCAATGAAAGAGATAGTGTAAAGAGGAGAAGTTGGTTATAAGTTAATTAGACTGAGTCTATTGGGACTTAAATTAGTTTTCATTTTCAACGGGTACTCTACTCTGGACCAAGTCAGTGTCACACCACAAAGTCTACTCTTCCAACTATTCACATTTATGGCAGAATTTGTTGTCCCTTACCCAAAATATGGGGTACAAGATATTTGTTAAATGTAAAGACGAAGACTTTATATGAATACGTTCACTATATATATATATATAGAGAGAATTTATACGAAGAACTCAGGAAAAAGTACCTTTTAGTTTTTGTTACTCCCTCCGGTCCAAAATAAGTGATTTTTTAGATGTTTTCACACAAATTAAGAAATTCACCTGTTAGCATTAATTAGCAATGGAATGGACCATATTAACTTTTACTATCTCACATAAACACTCCTAACACATATTCCAACACCATTTACTTCAAGGACAATGTAGGAAAAAAATAATTAATTCATTCTTGAAATCTGGAAAAATTACTTATTTTGGACCACAAGAAAAAGGCCAAAAAATCACTTATTTTGGACCGGAGGTAGTAATAAATAAAATCGAGCTTTTGACCGCATGCCTTTTTTAAACGTGTTTTAAAATTGTGGCATACCCGTTCAAAAAATCATCAAACAAAATTAATTATAAGAATTATAATCACTAAATTATCATCCATATCTCCTAATAAATGTTGAGAGATTTTTTAAAAGATTGTATTATTTGAGCAAAAGCAAATCTGAAAAATAATAATTAATGCCTACATGGAGTCCTAAAAGTGACACTTTTTTTTAACCAAATTTGTTTAGCTAAAGAGTCATTTAAAATGGATCGAAAATAGTAATTTACAAATTAAGGTTTATTCTATCATGTTTAAAATGCTTACCAAATCATAGCAATGTCTAATTAATTTGAATAACGCTTAAATTGTCTTAGCTAATTTGGAATGTAATAATGACTAAAAACAAAGAGTTGACCTATAAAAAAAATTTAATCTATTCTATCACATGTTTTTTGCCATCTCCTTTTAAAAAAGAATTGAATTACTTTTCAAAAAAACAAGTATTTCGATTTAAAAAGGGGTATTCACTTTTCACCCGCGCTAAAAATTGTTTACATCTGATAGTCGAAAAATGTATAAAATTTGTATAATTTTTGTATATAATATACAGAATATATATATATATATATATAAATTTTATATATTTTTTCGGCTATTATTTTATGATTATACAGTGCATTTTTTCCTTTAAAAAGAGGGTACATAGACTTCCAATCCAAATCCCAAACATACAAAGAAAAGCTAAACTATTCTTACAAGACTTTTTCACAACTGCTCGAGAGAAAGGAAGAAGTTGTCAACATTAAGAAACAAATTGAACATTTTTGGGGGCTAAAATTGCAAATTTTCAAAGTCTCTCGAAATTTGTATAATGTAATCAATGACGCAATCATTTGGCGGTTCTCATATTATTCAACAAAAAACAAGAAGATGGAATGAAATCAAAAGAGTTAAAAGCATTAGTTTAATAAAGTTTGTTTTTTCTATTTTCTGATTTTTATAATCCTTCTTCTCGGACAGACATGTCACAAAAAAGGGTTATTTTTCCAATAATTTGACTTATGGTAAGAATAATGCAATTTATACTAAAACAAGTACTCCCTCCGTTTCATATTAATAGTCGTGATTATTAAAAATAGTGGTCTCGAATTATTTGTCATTTTAGAAGTTCAAGACAAAATTAATTGTTTTTTCCTTTATTACTCTTAGTAATAATTGTTCTTGAATATGGAGATAATACATAAATAGAATAAATATTCAATAAAGAGATTTTATTTTAAGACATAAATAAGGGTAGAATAATCCAATCCCTTTCCTAATTAATATTTCTTAAGGGGTGTGTAAAAGAGAAACACGACATATAATATGAGACAGAGGGAGTATTATATACTAAAAACAAAACGTGGAACACTAAGAGAACAATAATAACTATTTAATTCAACTAATGGAAATTGAACTGCTCAAACAAAGATAGATATTTGAGAAAACAAATATTAATCAAGTAGAAAAAGATGGAAAAAAGTCTTCAATGAGAGAAGAGAAATGTGAATAGGTTGATCCTGTAAAACTATGGACTAAATGAGATGTATCACTTTTTTAATTTGGACACAGCTGGATTAATTAAACTCAAACCTAAACTTAATCCTTAATTCCTTATTATTAATTTGAGCAAAAATCCAGCTTTTTCATATGCTTTATTCTTTCTAACACACTTCAAAACTCGTCTGGAACGCTGTGTGACATCATCTTTAACCAAACTCCATGGTAGTTTTTTTATTTTTTTATTATTTTTTATTTTTATGTAAACCACTAAGAGCACGTTTGGATATAAGAAACTTTTTCCTTTTTTTCCAAAAAAAATTCACTTTTTTCCGGAATCAGTGTTTGTTCATAAAATTTTCAATTTTCGCTTGAAGATGCATTTTAGAAATTTTCGAAAATTTGAAAAACTCCAAAAAGCTGTTTTTCAAAATTTTCCCTCTAATCACTCATAAAACTTAAAAAATAACCCAAAATTATATTCATGTCCAAAGACAATTCTAAATTTCAAATACCATTTTCACCTTATTTTGGAATTTTACAATTCTTATGTCCAAACGCCCACTAAGAATTGCATATACAGTAAATTACTTATATATGTCTACTAAAAGATTGATTTTCGTTCATTATCATTAGTCCAATATGAAACTAAGAAAGAGGGAGAAATAAATCCTTATTTTGAAATGAGGTGACATTATTGAGTAGTTAAATGGAAAATAATATATAGGATCTCAACCCGACATGTATACCTGACAATATACATGTGTTTTTTGTGTGAAAAACATCATAAATAGTGGGAAACAATGACTCATTCTTGACAAAGGTACTTCAAGACAATTTCCAGTCTGCAACTGAAACTGTACTTCAAGACATCAATATTACATATTGATATACAACAACAAACACAATACGGTCCCATAATAGTGTGTACGCAGACCTTACATCTACCTTGTGTAGATAGAGAAATATTACATATTCATATGCCATCCTAAAAGGCGATATCACGTATATATTTATGTGTCGAAACATCATAGTGCTTATAATAAACAAAGATTAGAAGAAATGAAACCTTCCTCAACCCGCACAAACCAAACAGAGAAGCATAAAAGAATGTCTCTAAATTATCTCCATCAACCTACCTTTAGCAAATACAACAATTACTACACTAAAATGGTCAGACATATATTAACCTTGGCTCGCTCTGAACAAATCCTAACAACAGTATTTTGTTAACAACCTGTGCATCATCTTCTTTACATTTCATCATAATCAGTGGAAGTGTAATGCGTTCGAGATATCTTCTTACCTCATACTCCTCAAAAGCCAAAAGGATTGACTGTCGTCTTTTTCTGTCTCCTCCTCTCCTCTAATATGACATCCAATCACACATTATCAGCGGCTGATGTCATGAACTTTAGCAATTTGATGTGAACAAGCTTTAACATGGAGCAGATCTGTTTCCAGAAAGTTTGCTTTCTTGAACTAATGTTTAATTCTCATTTTGATGATATGTTTGCTTTCCAGGATGTGAACCACCTCCTTGCGAATCAGAGCTTTCTGCTTGTGAGACAAGATAGTCAAGTGCGACAACAATATCACTGATGATGGGGCGAAAATTGGCTTGTTCTTGAATACACATTGCAGTAATTGCAACTGCATGGTGCAAAGAGCGAACAGAGAACTGACCATACAACAAAGGGTCAACCATATGAACAAATTTCCTCCGGTCCTTTAGGAAGGGACGAGACTGCAACCAAGTGAAAAATTTCTCAGATCAAGTATCCTAGATGGAGCACGTAGAGAGAAAAAAAAACATCTTTACTTTTAGGTCAGCAATTTGATACTAGTTAATATTTGCTTCCAGTATACATGATAAAAGATTTTCAATGGGAGGATTGGCCGCAAGCTCAAAAAGAATGCGATCCAAGATGCAACCTATCTTAAAAATTGTCAACATGTCCTACTTTGCTTAAATTCTTATCTGATTACTGTAATCAACAAGTAGACTGGAATCAGGTTGTGATCCAATCTACTGACAAGCTCAACATGTAAATTTTGGAACAAAAGTGACAACATTGGTTTGTAAGACGTGCAACTACTTAGTTCAAATATATGAAATAAATTGACGGATAGTAATATGCAGGCACATTAGATAATATAAACTCACCCAAACAACAAGGTTCTGTTCTCCTGACTTTCTAGAACTATCATAAGCCTTTCGGCCTGTTATTAGCTCCAACAGCACAACACCTAAGCTATAGATGTCTGATTTCAGAGT